GTGAACACGGATCCGTTGTCGACTACCAGCAGCAACTAGCTGCCTACCTCTACTGAGATGTAGTGCATCTCGGTGATACCTTCGGTGTTTATTATGGTGCCAAAGTTGAAGACGTTCTCGCTCTCCTCCCACATGAAGACCCTGTCGGTCCTGGGCTTGACGTAGCTGCTGATGAACGTGTCTATCAGCTCCAGCGTGTCATCCGTCTCGGTGTCGGTGATGTAGAAGATCTCGCCCTCCTTGAAGGACAGCGTGACCTGGATCGACGCGGGCCTGCTAATGCTGATGTCTTCTGCCTGGAACGCCGCTAGCATCGTGTCTATGCGGTTCTCCCTTGTCAGCTCCGGCTGGTCGCCGTTGGTCACGGCGCTCGTCGTGGCCACGCCCGAGAGCTTTTGGAGGTATGCGGTAAAGGCGGCCTCTTGCGTATCGCCGAGCCCTACATAGTACTCCCCGGTGAATGCGGCGCCCACCGCGGCGATGGTTCCCAGCTGCGCCACCACACCGCCGGCGCCGGCCGTATACACGGGGATGAAGTAGGTGTCATGCTCGCCCACGTTGTACAGGATGTTGTCGCCGATCCTGGGGTTGCGCAGCAGGGTTCTGAGCTGTGCAAAGTCGGGATCCCTGTCCAGCGCCTCGCGGACGGCGGTGGGCCCGATCAGCTTGGTGGTGGAATTGAGCGGCACTTCGTAGAACCGCATGTTGCCCAGGCTGGAGAGGTCGTTCTCGACTATCATGTATCCGGCCAGGTTCCTGCCCTGGGAGCCGCGCAGCTCCAGCGACAGCAGCCCGACAAACTCCGTCTGGTTGAATCCCGGCGGCTTGGCCTCGATGTAGTAAGGGTCCAGGCCCCTGGGTATCTCGTAGAACTCGTTTGCCTGTATGAATGTCTCCACGTTGTCCACGTGGTATATGTTGTACATCTCGGTCTTCCAGGTAAAGAGCTCCACCGGGTACCGGATCTGCTCCTCCAGCCAGCTGGGGACGGGCTCTAACCTGTCCTGGTATTGGCTGACGAACATGTCCGCAAAGAAGTCGTCTCCGGACTGCAGCAGCCTGATGTTGCCGTCGTACGTGTCGATCAGCGCATAGCCCACCAGCCTCAGGTACGGGTTGCCCATGGACCATGGCACGTCGTTGGTGTCAAAGCCCACTATCAGCGGGACAAGCCAGTACGAGTTCTCGCCGTCGGTCACCGGCAGCGAGTCCAGCTCGTTGTTGAACAGGTTGTAGAGAAAGTACGGGTACAGCGTCTCCATCCTCTCGGTGATGTCCTTGTACCTCATAAGGTGAACCGGCTCGGTCGGGAACGACAGCAGAAAGTTTGGCTCAAACATGTAGCTCAGGGGTGGCGGTACCGTGAGGCCTCCGGTCCCGTCATATGACACACCACCCAGCTCGGCGCTCTCTACCCTGTTGACGGGGTATGCGGACCACTCCTCCTCCAGCAGTCCACCCTCGCCGTAGTAGATGGTCCTCTGTGAGAAGAACTTCCCGCTGTCCACTATGCTGCCGTCTGTCGCCTGCAGGGTCAGAAAGCCGTTTGGAACGTGGGTATACACAAGGTGCTCGTTGTACCACAGGTTGTCCTGGCTCACCGACGGGGGCGTTATGGGCTTCATGGATGCGGTCCAGTACAGCGTGTTGTTGAAGCGCAGGATGTCGTTGTCCTCAAAGTCCACGTAGGGAATCAGGCCGATCTCTGGCTTGAGCTTGGCAAAGGCGGCCTCCCAGTCCCAGACGCGGATCACGCCCAGCACGTCGCTGTTGCTCTCTACGTAGTTCTCAATGTTGTTGGGTGAGATGGACTTGAGCTGGACGTCGTGGGTGTTCTCGTTGATCTTGTCCAGCTCCCCCAGGTACCTGTTGACGCCGATCTGCTGTGCGGTGTACGGGCCCAGGAACTCGATCTTCCTTGCGTCGGCGACGCTGTCGTTTACCGTTACGATGCCTGCGGGTATGATGCCGATGGCCAAAAGTATGAGAATCCTGATGTACACGTCGCGCTTTAGCATGTGGGTCAGAATCCTGGCCCTGATCCGATCTGTGACCGCAAACGCAACGAGCGCCGCGCCTGCCAGCATTATGCCCGCAATCACATACCTGGTGTTGTAGTCGATCTCCGCCGTAAAGAAGAGGTTGAAGCCAGCCCACAGGACGCCGATCCCTATTATCGCCTCGATGGTGGCGACGTAGTTGAGGTACCGGGGCTTTCCGTCGGCGGTGTCCTTGATGTAGGATGTTATCACCTTGAGCATGTTGTGCGCGCCGACGTACAGGACCAGGCGTAGCCCGATTACGCTCAGCAGGGAGGGGATCAGGATGACCAGCGCCGGAACCATGGGGATTATGGTATCTGCCGCATAGGCGCTGTCCGTTGGCGGCGTCACAAACGGTAGCGTAAAGAGGACGGGCAGGTTCTCGACGCCCAAGGTGTTGCCGTCGTAGAACTCTATTGCGGCAAAGCCGAACATCACGTTTGTGAAGAAGGCGCCAAAGAGGAGTATCTTTGTGACCTGCCATATCGAGAACTGGATCAGGCCCATCTTGTAGTCGCGAAAGCCGTTGATGTTCTTTGCGATCGGATCCCGGGGGCCGCGGTTGATAAACGAGATGGCCGTGCTTATGCTGTACCAGAAGATCGAGGACCTGGACACAAAGTTCACCCTGACCAGGGCGATGACCGAGAGCACCAGGGCGGATATGACGGAGTAGTACAGCGGCTTTGTGAACTCGTCGCCGAACTCGCCAAAGTTCATCCACAGCGTGATGCTCTGGTTCCCCGTTATGATGAATATGATGATGGCCAGTATTCCGACAACCGCCCACGGGACATACTTGCCCGCGTCTGGTGGGGGAGCCTTCTCGGTGGATGTGCTATACAAAACTGCTTTAGCTTGATATCTGCTAAATTAATGTCTTGTCACACGGCGTGCGGCATGCTGTGCCGGTGTACGCGCCCGTACAGGTTCCTGCTCCCGGCAGGCGGTTCTGCGCCATGGCAGGGGGGTGCGCGTAAAGGACTCGGAGGGCTTCGATCCCCCGATCTGGCGGTCCGAAGCCGCCCGCACTGTCCTGACTGTGCTACGAGTCCAGCAGGACGGGGGCGGCGGCAACCTAAATACCTGACTTTTCGTGCCGGGCGTCCCGCATCGATAACCTAAATTACGGTTCGGGTTCCACCATATGCCTTGAAGGTGTCAAAGAAGGTGACCGGCGTGGAGTATGCCATCCGGGACATAGTTGAGGCTGCCAGGAGGGTCCAGCAGCGGGGCATACGTGTCGACTACCTCAACATAGGCGATCCTGTGCAGTACGGCTTTCAGCCTCCGGCAAACGTGAGGGAGGCCATGATAGACGCTATCCGGAGGGGAGACAACTACTACTCGCACTCCGAGGGCCTGCCCGAGCTCAGGGCCGAGATCGCAAAAAAGGAGGAGTCCAAGGGTCTCTCGGTCACTGCGGACGACATCCTGGTCACCAACGGCGTCTCTGAGGCGCTGGACATGGTGATGTCCTCCATAGTGGAGGACGGGGACGAGGTCCTGCTCCCGGGACCCTACTATCCACCGTATGCGTCATACATCCGGCTGCACGGGGGTGTGCCGGTGGAGTTTGCCGTGAACCCGGACGACTCGACGCCGGACATGGACGATATCCGCTCCCGGATCACGCCGAGGACCGTGGCAATATGCCTCATCTCGCCCAACAATCCCACGGGTGCGGTCTTTGACGGGCGGGCCCTCAAGGGCCTGGTGGACCTTGCCAACGAGCACGGCCTCTACATCATATGCGACGAGATATACGACAAGATAGTCTTTGACGGAGAGTTTACGGGCATGGGTGGCGCGTCCGGCGACTCGCCGGTCATAATCCTCAACGGCTTCTCCAAGGGGTACCTGATGACGGGGTGGCGGATAGGCTACATCGCCTTTAACCGGTCTCCGTCGCTGCAGCAGCTGAGGGAGAACCTGCCCAAGCTTGCGCGGGTGCGCATCTCCACAAACCTGCCGGTGCAGTACGGGGCTCTGGAGTCCCTTCGGGGACCGCAGGACTACATATCTGACTTTGTCTCGGAGATCAAGAAGCGCCGCGACATGGTGGTAAAGCGCCTCAACTCGATCCCCGGCCTGTCGTGCTCCAATCCCCGGGGGGCGTTCTACGTCTTTCCGAGGATAGAGCACAACCCGTTCCCGTCTGACCTGGAGTTCGTCTTGGGGCTGCTGGAGAAGGGTGTGCTGGCGGTTCACGGCTCCGGCTTTGGGGCGCAGCACGGCTCGAACCACTTTCGGCTTGTGTTCCTGCCGCACCCGGACATACTGGACTCGGCGCTCGACAGGATCGAGTCCTTTGTGGGCACGGCCATGCGGCCCTAGCCGGTCAGTACTGCCAGCCCCATGTCCTGTCGGGCGTGATCTCTACGATGCAGTCCGTGTCATCAAGCAGGTCCTGCGCGGCCCTGGTCATGCTCTCAAAGTACCGCATCAGGATCCTGGTTGCGATCCCCTTTACGCTGGAGTCCAGGATGAGCCGGGCGCGGCCTTGGCCTGCCACGCCGTATATGTTCGGCGCGTTTATCCCCACGTCCACGCAAAAGCCGACCCGGTCGTCCCTTTGGATGTTTCTTACCTTTCTGCTCTTTGCGCTGGTGCCGATGTAGAATTTTCCTGCGTCGTACAGGTACCATAGCGGCGTCACGTGCGGCCCGCCGTCCTCGGCGGTGGCAAGCCGGATTATCCGGGAGTCGCGCAGGAAATCATCGCGGCGCAACGTTCTTCCTAAACCCCATGGCTATCATGAATGCCCCAAAGGCGATCATCGCAAGAGAGAGCTTCTCGTTTGTGAACTCCGCGCTCAGTATAAAGTCCAGCACAAAGTCCGGAGTCCACAGGGCAACCTGTCTTGCTAGCGTGATGCATGCCATAATTATGAACAGGAGTCCGATGGCGGTGTACCAGTTCCTGCCGCGGCGGTAGTATTCGGTGCTCATGCCGGGACTAGACAACCTTGATGCCGGGATTCCTGATCTTGTTTCTTATCATGGCGTTGAGGAGCAGCGGCGTTGCGATCTCTGCCATATACGCAAGCTTTCCAGGTCCCAGACGTATGGGGCGTAGCCCGTCGATCTCGCTTATCAGGCCTTCGACTGTGGCGGTGGCCTCCCTGTCATCCCCGCACACAAATATGTCATAGTTCAGCTGCAGCTTTGGGTTTGCCAGCTTCTTCTCGGATATTACATGAAACGCAGATACCACGCGGGACGCATCTTTTGCGTGCCTTGAGACCATCACGTGGGACGACTCCCTGCCGTCCATCATCGGAATGAACTCAAAGCCGGTGTCGGTCTTGACCATGGGTACTATGGGCGATACCACGACGCACCCGTCTCCTGCCGCAGACAGCACCTGGGGGCACACCGAGTCGATGTTCTCATACGGTATGGACAGTATCAGAACGTCGCTCTGCCTTGCGACCTCTGCGTTGCCGTCCCCTGAGATGGTGCCGCCTATGTCGCCGTGGATCCCCCTTGCAAGCTCCAGGTATTCGCTGGCTGCCACAGCGGCCCTTCCGGCATCCCTGGAGCCTATCAGGATCTCGTGCCTTGTGCACCACCGCAACGCAAACCCCTTTCCCATTCCGCCGGTGCCTCCGATGATGCCGATTCTCACAGCAATCGTCTGGGAATGTTATTATTATCTCTATGCGAAGGCAGTGGACTTGTCGCTGATAGTATTTTTGAGGCACGGCCAGGCACTAAACAACGTGCAGAAGATTCTTGCAGGCAGGACGCCTGGCTACGAGCTGACGCAGAAGGGAGTGGAGCAGGCCCGGGCAGCGGCACGGATGCTCCGGCCCCTTGGCATATCCCACATATACTGCAGCCCCATCGAGCGCGCGCGCCAGACCGCCGGTATCGTGGCAGGGGAGGTATCGGCAGACGTCACCCCGGATGACCGCCTCCTGGAGCTGGACATGGGCAGTTTTACCGGCATGAGATATGACGACATCGAGCCCAGGTACGGAAACGTCTTTGAAAAGTTCTACCACGGCAGCCCGGATATTGAGGAGAACGGCATCGAGTCCTTTGCCGATGTGAGGCAGCGGGTGGCCGACATGGCAGACCATATAGTCCGGAGCCACCCCGAGGAGAACACCCTGCTGGTGACCCACATGGATCCCGTCAAGGCCATGCTGGCAAACGTGACGGGCCTGAACCCGCACTCGCTGTACCGGCTGATAATCGCAAACGCGTCACTGAACATATTTGCGCAGCACCAAGGCGAGATCTATCTCATGGGCCTCAATGTCGTGGACACCGCAAGGTTCAACGACGTATGGTAGCCCCAGAGCACAAGGCTTTGTGCTTTCACCAAGCAGAGAATTCACTGACGGTGATGGCGTATTTGCCTGATGAGGATGTGCGGGCAAGAGCCCGAATGCCAGTCATCCATGTGCAAGACAGACATTGCCATGGCTGTACATCTCTTGGCAGCTCCTGCCATGGAGCAATAGGTGGTACCTCCGATGCCGAGAAAGGAGCATGCGGAGACCGGAGCCTTTCCAGACCGGACAGGTCGTTGCCGATTCTAGGAAGAATCATGGTATGGATAAAAAAAGAGGCAAGGAAGGCCGCCCACCGGATGGCAGACGGAGATATACAGACTCGCACGAGACGGTGTGGTTCTAGGGGATATTCCAAAAAGATTCACGTAAGGAGGCATGCCAGAAAAACAGAAGCCAAAGAGAACAAAAAGTTTCAGAAATGGGTAGATGCCAACGTCAAAGGGAAGACAAGGAGCATCTGATGGCGGCTATACTTGATGGTGTCCGGCCTGCGCGCCCACCAACGCAGTCATGACGCAAGGTACAAGCCGAGATGGAAAACCTGCCATGGCACAGGACGGACCAGGCGCAGGGAGTAGTTTTGAGCGTAACGCACAGCAATCGGTTGGAGTCAGAGCCGGTGTCCTAATGTCTGCAGCCATGGTACATGCTTGTGTTGATCATAAATGCAGAAAACTGCCCATTCTAGATTATACACTTTCGCGAAATCGTATATGGGTGATACATATCGGATTATATGTGCAGAAAAAGCTTTAAATTCTAGATTTATGCTCCTTAGATATGGTTAAGAGAGCAGACATAACTCCAGACAAGTCACTGATTCAAAAGCTTGGACTGGTGGGATACAGAACGGAGCAGGCGATTGCAGAGCTGCTGGACAATTCCATCGACGCGAGAGTTGAAGGCAGCAAGGAAATGATTACTGTGCGGCTAAGCCCAAATGAGAGAATGATTCAAGTCACAGACGATGGGCATGGCATGAACGAAGATGATCTGGCCGATGCAATGACGGTTGCAAAGGGCACAAAACTAAAAGGACAACTAGGGCAGTTCGGCATGGGGATGAACAGCGCGTGCTCCGCATTAGGGAAAAACTTCGTTATCGCAACATCAAAGGCCGACTCGGATGAGGAATACCAGACAGAGTACGACGAGGAAAAGTGGCTGTCAGACGAATCAAAAGGTTGGAAGAACCTTGAAATAACTGCAAGAACGTTGGGCGAAGGTGAAAAATGGCACGGCACAAAAATCACAATCAAAAAACTAAAGGTCCCAGTATATCCAAACCAGGTATCGAAGTTTAAGGAAAGTTTTGGAACACGCTATGCTCCATACTTGAAGTCCGGCCACATCTCAATAAGGATCAATACGACGTTCTGCATACCGGAAAAACCGGATGTGGTGGAAGGCAGCACAAGCGAGGTCAAGATAGGTCTATCAAAAAGCAACAAACTCTGGGGGCATGTTGCATTATTGAAAAAAAGATCTGTACGAGGAGATTATGGCATCCATTTATTTAAGAACAAACGATTAATCAAGGCAAATGAAAAATTTGGGTTTTCCGCACACCCAAAACAGGCACAGGTGGTTGGAGCATTAAACATGGATCACGTTCCGGTTAATTTTAACAAGAGCGGATTCATTGAAGACAGTCTGGAATACCAAGAAGCCCTATCTGCATTTCAGGAATCTCCGGAGTTAAAGAGCATATTGCGCCTAGCCCAATCAAGAAGAGAGATTGTTGCATCTGTAGAGTCAGTGTTTGATTACTTTGGCGGGAAATCACCACAACAGTATTTGGATCGCAGCGTAAACTTGAAAATTGCAGGCGAGATATTGGACAAAACACCTAGGCTGGAAGTGAAGATGGACAACAAACTGGTCAGATATACGTCTGGAGGCACTGGGAGACCTTCCTCTTTATACAATAAACGGCGGCAATTCGCAAATCACCGTTGTCATAAACAAGGACAATAGAGCATTCAAATTCGTAAAAAATCCATTATTTTTGATCGGGATGATCGCATCGGAGATAAAAATTCTTGCAACGAGTCCCAATTTTGAGAGTGTTGTCAAGGAAAGAATCGGAGCCTTGGTAGTTGTAGAAGAATGGTCCAAAAAAACCAGGCGAAGCGGGTTTCAGGGACAGAGAAATAGAAATACCATATATGGTAAACTACAAACTAGCCAACGATCTGTTTGAACCGCACGAATACCTTAAAGAAAAAATTGGGTTCAGGTTTCAGTTTACCGCACTGTCAACCCTAGTACCACACCTGCACAACTTGCGCGGTAAGGTAGTGTATACAGTGTATACCGAACCTGGGAAGGGCGAGTACCTTGCAGACGTGCTTGGCCAAAAATTTGACAGCAAGTTTGTTGTGGTAAACAAACCCAAATCCGATATGCTAAACATGCTGTTGCAAATCCCGACAGTGGACAGAATTATTGCGATAAGGGAATACTCGGCAATTAGGGGATCAACAGTGGCAGCCCCGGAAAAGGCCTATCTTGATCTGGTAAATGAGGCTGGCCGGGGCATCCCTGTAGGCGAAACAGAGCTTAGAAAAGTATTTTCAAGCATGCGGAGATACAACCTGATTGATCACACAAAATTAAGGACATATGCCAACTTTACCAAGAGAATGAGCGCCCTTGAGCGCATATTGGGGGACGGACTGCAGTGGTAGAACTTCACTTCGCTGATCAGCTGAAACAGGATAACATAGAAAGAATTCTAGCAGAAAATGACTTTCAAAGTGCGTATCCTGTAGAGCAATTCATAATGGATTTCGAAGCGCTTGTACATATCAAAGAAAAATTATCTGATTGCGTAGTGAGAGGTGGAATGGCCGTGCCTTTTCACATAAATGACAGTACACTACACAGGCTAAGTGTAGACATAGACATTGTAACCGGCCATTCAAGAACCGAAGTCATATCCGCAGTGAGTGAAATTAGAAAAACGCTTGGGAGAAAAATAGACATTCCAGATCCTTATACTCCAAGGAGGCAGAGGGATAAGCAACTACCACTGCTAACATACTATTGTGGGTATGAATCAAATTTTAACGATGAGCCGCAGATAAAGGTGGAAATTTTTTACAGTAACAAGCTCAATATTAAAACAAAAGAAACCACTCCTACTCAAATTGCCGGATTTGTAATAGATTTTCCAATTTCAGTATATGATCGTGAGGCGCTAATAGGGGACAAGCTAACCACACTCCCATTTAACACAATTGGATTAGAACAAGGAGAAAAAGCCACAATATGCAAAAACATCTATGACATGTGCAGGCTAATCAACACAGCTCCGGGACAGGTTTCTATGCGAGAAATAATAGATTCATTTGAAAAGATTGTCAACGAAGAAATATCGTATTATATGAAAGATGCTCCAACATTTGATCAGGTATTGGACGATTTGATCCAGTTTCCAGAAAATTTACTTACTACAGAAAGAGGCAGACTTCAGCTAAACGCACAATGCAAAGGGGGGATTTCTACCTTTGCAACAGAGCTATTGGGAAAAACCAGGTACAGATCGCATTTACACATTGAAGATATTTTTTTGCTTAAACTTTTGTGTATGTTGATATACAAACATTACAAAGATGGATTAAGTACTGATGAAATTAATCAAAAATTTAACAATATTCTTAGTAAAAAAAATAGATTAGCACGTATGGCGCAACACGATCAGACAAGGGAGCGGCTTCACATTGCTAGAAAGCACAGAATAAATCCAGAACACAGACAAAATTATCAGCAACATGTTGCCGGTACACGCGTATTTGTATGATCAAATACTGCAATTAGAATAACTGGGTAACTCACTTGAGCCAGACTCGCGTCTGGATTGCTAAGCGGAATACCCAATGAACGATTATCGGTACGTATCTTATGGATGAGATATATCAAATGTAGTCGTATGCTACTTGGACACAATGTGTATTTTTCCCAGACAAAACATTCTCTAATTGCGACGGGGCTCTGAAAAATAGGCTTGGTGAAGCAGTACAAGAAAGGGATCTGGATGCCGGTTACTCGTACGTAGACTTGGTCCGCAATAGGCAGAGCCATGCGTAACCGTGCTTAGGTGCTAACTGTGAATCACGTCTCTGGTAAGCAGGCCGCTATTTGCTTCAAGAAGAACCGTGGTATGGATAAAAGAAGCGGCAGGAAAGACTATCTATAGCGCCGATCGAAAGTTCCTACAGAGCATGCCGCTGGCTTCGATCACGTTTGTCTCAAACATGGACACTAGCCATTGACAATTGCCGCCTAATCCGTTCCTAATCTTGGCAGACATAGCGTTCTGGTATGCGGCTTTGCAGGGAAGCCTGACTGAAATGATTCGTGGATTCTGCAAGAACTTTTAGTCGGCGCTATACCAGATGGTAGGCGGAATGTGCAGACCCGTACAAACATGAGTGGGTTCTTCTGCAAACACGAGTGGTGGATCCGACTGTTCACACCCTGTCGCGACAGCCCCTCTCCATGCAGAGGATCAGATCTCCAGCGTACGCGCCGGACAGCTGAAAAATTTGATCGCAGAGTATGATGCCCCCGGGCACAGGATCTACAAAACATGAAGATCCGGCCCGCATGGCTCTTGTTACGGCGAACAGGAAAACCAGCAAGTGGTGCCAAAAAGAGATTCTGCCCTGGGAGATTGGGCGCCTCAGCATCTAGATCGCCAGCGGAACTAGGCCAGGAGGCTGGAAGCAAGACGCTGGGAGGTGGCCCTGCAGCCAGTCTACAGGAAATGGTGCCGGGTGATCCGGCGACTATGTCTTGTGATTCTGCACCGATCTAGCATGACTTTGTGCTAGCCTGGCGCGCGGCTCCGCACAAAACCCACATCCAGATCTTACATAAAGTGCCGCTACAAGCGCGAGATCGGCACCAGAACGAGGACATTTAGACACCATCTGTATTTGCAGAAGAACCTATGAAGAGCTGGCCCGTTTGAGACATGGACGGCTGAATGCGTAAAGTATTCCACAGGCATGGCATCGGTCAAGTACCGCAGCGGATTATCGCACGACGCAGTGAATAGTGACGTCTTGGATAGTGCGTGTGTGTTTTGGTGTTCTAGCGGAATATGTGCGGATGTACAAGAAGAGCCACAACTAGGCTCCGGCACCGGAGAACCCAACATTAAATTAGCAACATAGGTGATTTCACACTATTGGAAGTGGATGAGCAGGGCCTGCCGGAGCCCGGAGAGATCGTACTGGCCACCGTGACCAGGATCATGGACCATGGCGCGTACGTCAGCCTGGACGAGTACAGCGGCATACAGGGGTTTCTCCACATCTCCGAGATCGCCCCGGGCTGGATAAGGTCCGTCAGCAAGTTCGTCAAGCATGGCGAGAAGAAGGTGCTGCTGGTCAAGAGGGTGAACCTGGAGCGCTCCGACGTTGACCTCTCCCTCAAGCAGGTCTCCACGGACCAGAAGAAGAAGAAGCTGCTGGAGGTCAAGCGGTTTGAAAAGTCCCAGACGTTTTTGGAGAGCATCAAGGAGAACGCCGGACTCTCAGACGCCGGGCTGGAGAGCCTGGAGGACGATCTGTACAACAAGTATGATTCCATATATGGCGCCTTTGTGGACGTGGCAAGAAACGGCATCGGCGTTCTTGACGGCATGGACATCTCAAAGAAGATATCAGACGCGCTCGAGGACGTCTGCAAGAAGATACGGCTCCCCTCGGTGGAGATAAGGGGCGTGCTGGAGATCTCAAGCAACCGTCCCGACGGCGTTGACGTGATCAAAAAGGTCCTGACAGGCGCCAGCAACAGCGAGCGCAGCTCCGGGGTGATGATCACGTACCTTGGGGCGCCAAGGTACAGACTGTCCCTCACCTCGCAGGACTTCAAGTCCGCAGAAAAGTCACTCAAGCCCATCCTGACCCAGATACGGCGCTCCATTGAGGCAAAGAAGGGGACCTTCAAGTTTGACCGGGAAGAGTCAAGGAAGACCAGGGAGTAGGCATGAGGTTCCAGATTAGAAGGTGCAGCAGCTGCCGCGCATACACGCTGGAAGAGACATGCCCCAAGTGCGGCGGGCCCGCCGAGTCGGCGCACCCGGCAAAGTTCTCCCCCGACGACAGGTACATGCGGTACCGGCTCAGGGCAAAGTATGAGGAACAGGCCTAGGGCAGGGTGGCCGAGTTGATCCTGATCTCCAGTATCTCCGCCTGCCCGAGATCCAGCGGCTCGTTCTGATCGTCGGTCTCCAGCCCGGATATCGCATCTATCACGTCATCCCCCACAAAGACGCTGCCAAAGGCCACGTAGCCGTCGGCGATCCACGGGGTGCCGGAGTCTATTATGAAGAACTGCGGGTCGGCCCCGCCAAGGGAGGATCCCCTGGCGGCTGCCAGCAGGTATCCGGCATCGACAAAGTCATCAAATGTGGGCCCCGCGGGAAATCCCGGCGCGGCAGACGCAGGCAGGGCGGCCCCGGGACTGCCTCCCTGCAGCAGGATTCCCGGCACGACCCGGTGGAAGAACGCTCCGTCGTACGCGCCGGCATCTGCCTGCGCGACAAAGCCCTCGACCAGCTCGGGCTGCGTCCCCCTGTCAAGGAGTATGCCTATCTCTCCCTGGCCGGTGCTGATGGTGGCTATCTCAAGCTGCCTCTGCGTGGATGCGACCGGCGGCGCCTGGCCAGGGACGTAGTCCTGGTTCACCTCGTAGATGAACACGCCCACTATGGGGCCGGACTCGGCGCCAAAGCTTGGGGACGAGTAGGCCAGCCGCAGCGGCCCGTCCCCGTCCGCTGGGAGCTTGACGTTCTTCTCCAGCAGTGCCAGGGTGTTGGGCTGCCAGTTGGGCGACTGCTCGCCGGTCTCCGGGTTTATGTACACGCGCGGTGAGAACGGGATCATGCTTCCCAGCATCGTGTTCTCCCAGAAGAAGTTGGTCTCCGTGGACTGGTCCTCGTGGAGGTACCTTGAGAGCGGTTCCTCGGCTATGCGTATGAACCAGTAGTTCTTCTGCTCGTCCCCGCCCCCGTTGAGCACGTAGGTGGGAGGTTCGCTGCCGATGCCCAGGGCGGCGATAAAGATCAGCACGTAGTCGGCCTTCAGCTCCTGCAGCTTTGCCCACGCGTCGTCGGGGTGGCTCAGCATCATCCTTGCCAGATCGGCTATGCGCTTGCTGTCTGCCGTGTGGTTGTCGGCCAGCGTGGTCCGCTCACCCAGCGTGGTGATCCAGTACCCGTAGTCCCACCAGGCGGCGACTATCGAGTCGGGAGGGGTGCTTGTCCTTATCCACTCCATCGCGTGGTGCCAGTCGTTGGAGACCACGCCAAAGCTTGTCCCGCCGTTGAGTATCGTGGGGGGCGCCTTGACGCCGGTGATCCAGTTCCCGTCGGCGGGCGCCACGGTGGGTATGATCAGGAGCATGACGATGGCCGCCACGAAGAATGCCTGCATGAGGTTTCTTGTCCTGCCCCGGGACCTCCGGTCCGGATTTTCCGGATGAAAGAACATTCCCGAGATTATGGACAGGGCAAGGGCGGAGAGTATGATGACCGCTATCGCGGCAAATATCTCCAGCCTGATAAACGCCGAGCTCACGTAGACGCCGGTGATTCCCAGGATCAGCGCGAACGCGGCCATCTCGGGCTTTTCCCGGAGGGGGCCGTTGATCTTGCCGGAGAGCAGCAGCCAGGCGCCGATTCCCGCAAATATCATCAGGACCGACAGGAACCAGAACGACGTGCCGGTGTCGGCCGTTGCGTGCTCTGCCACCGAGTCCACAAGGGGGTGGATGGTCGTCAGGAACGGGTTGACGGCGTTGAGGTACCGGAAGGAGGGCAGGGGTATGAACTGCTGCAGGGAGTTTACGTAGAGCAGCAGCATGGATCCGGCAAAGCTTCCCAAGAGAAAGATCAGGCTGTTTCTCAGCCCCGCGGAGCCGCTCCGCGTCTTGATGAGTATGATTGCCGCCATGAGTATGGTCGGCACGACTATGGTTATGCCGCCCAGGCCGGCGACAAACTCGAGCCCCGGCCTCTCAAATAGGAGGACCGTGCTCAGGAATACGGCCCCAAAGAGCGGGACTATCCAGAGCAGGAACCTGTGGTCGCTTCTGAAGAACGGCAGGGCCAGGATGAAGATCGCGATCGGTATCGCAAAGTACTGTATTCCGCCCCAGGATGCCAGCCCGAAGGAGAGAAAGAGGCCGCCGGCGGCAACCTTTGCTGCCGCAACCCTCCTGTCTGCGGATCTTATTCCGCTCAGGAAGAGGTACATGGCCAGGAGCCCGTAGAACAGGCCCATGGGCTCTGACTTGAACCACCCCATGGTGCCCCGGACGATTATGGCTGGGGAGATCGCAAAGAACAGGGCCGCGAAGAGCCCCGCGCCGGTCCCGCCGATGGTGCGCACCAGGGCAAAGACCACCACGGCGGTGAGCGCGCCGACGACCGCGGGAAAGATGATTATGAACGAGAGCAGATCCATGCCGCCGCCAAATAGGTAGTACGTGGCGGCCGCGGTGATGTGCAGCATTATCTGGGACGTCGCGGAGACGTCCCGGCCGTTGGGATACCATGACATGTAGTCGTGCCATTCGTAGTACTCCTCAAGCCCGTTCTCCACCAGGAACTCGGTCGCCCTGTAGTTGAAGTAGGGATCAAACTCGTTCAGCTCAAAGCCGTAGTCCGCCCCCTGGAAGCGGATCATGGACGAGAGCGAGAACGCTATGATCAGGATCCCTATGACGAGCAGGTGGCTGCGCCTGAACTCAAAACCGCGTACAGAGAAGAGCCGGGTATCAGTTATCAACGCATGTGGGCGGGGGCGCAAAGAATATTACTCTTTTGTGGGCTTGTGCGACAAAATGCCGCCTGCCGCGCCAAGCCAGGCGTGCAGGCACTTCTGCGTGTGCGGATCCACGCCTGAGGGCTTGACTGATCTCGGCATGTCCCACAGACAGATATTCAAGATGGCGATCCAATGGTTTGCGTCTGGGCAGGCATGTGCGGCCGATTCCCCTAGATATGTCCAGATGGCCTTGTCAGAGTCCACTCCGTGCTGTTTATAATGTACAAATGTAATTACTACTACATGACTGGAGCCAACGCCAAACCGGCATCCAACCCGACAAAGAAAAAGAGTGATGAGGTAGGAATAGGCGAGAAGAAAATACGTGAGCTTGCAGAAGAAGTAATGCGCAAAAACAAACCAGTGTTTAACCGATTGGCCGAGATTTGACGATAAAACCAACCAAGCGTGACCTGCTGGACGCCCACGAATCTGTAAGGGGGTTTTCCCCCCAGTTTGTATCGGATGGCAAGATCAATGAAGGAAAAATTCAGTCTATTGCAGAGAAACCATTCAGGGAATTTTATGGCACACGGAGATACGACACGATCTTCAAGCAGGCTGCATGCCTGATGGAGGGGATCATACGGCTGCATCCATTTCCGGACGGCAACAAGAGAACAGCACTGCTCACCACGGTTGTCTTTTTACGTGTCAACTGATACTATCCGGCAATACCGCTTGATACCGTCAGATTTCTGGTAAGCATTGCACGGGACGAATCCCGCAATGAAGAGGAGATTGATGTCCTGATCAACCGAATCGCAACCTGGTTGGAAGAAAGGACAGCATCAAGCAAGGACAAATACGGCGCGAAGGAGTGGAAGTACATTAGCAAACCGTTACTAATGGTGCTGCTGCTCGCGCTTACAGGCGTTGGATGTTTCTATGTAGGGAGAAAATTTGGGAAATGGATGGCAGTAGACATGCACCCCGAATACAAGAAGAGTATACCTGAAATTCTCCGGTTCGTTTTGGCTCTACAATTTCGGCCTGCGCGTGATAAGTGATAAGGGAGACGGCGGAGTGCGGGCGGTACCGGGATACGAGCTGGTCACCGTGCAGGCAGCAATTGGATGAATCCATGCGCTGCGATCACCTGTCCGCTCCGAGCAGCCCCTGCAGTCAAAAAGGGCAAGGCACGGAGGGGCATTACTCCCGGGCATCGGCATATCGGATCTTGAGCCGGTGCGGACAAGGAGGTCTGATCACAAGGCTGACTCCGTGCTGCAGGCAGCCAAGTGGTCTCAGTGCACGGGCAAATGCGTGATCGCGGATCCCTGGCTCCCGCGAGCGATCATTCCTATAAAGCTACAATCTGACAAAGCTTTAATTAGTACAAGCTAAGACGTGAGTCTTATGGGACGAAGCTACCAAGAATGGATAAATCAGCAGGATCAGGCACTAGTTGCCAAGGTTAGAGCTGGCGACGAGGACAACAAGCCCCTCCTTAACCAGATCAACTGGATCTGGGTTGCAAACCTTATGGCACAAAAGGCGGATCTGAACCCAAGTTCTGCCGAACTACTTGACTGGGTAACCTCCGGTCAGATCGACGCAATGAGAAAGTAAGATCTTTCACATAGTTCTCTTGTTTTTTCTTTTGTTTCTAATGTGGACATGATCGCGGCTTGGCGCGGGCTCGTCCGGCGGCAGTTTTTTGCTCCCTCATCGGCGATCAGACTGGCACAGCCCGGGTTCCGAGGACTTACGCACGGTTTGCGGCACATGCGATCGGCTAGGCTCTATAACCCCGTTATGGATTTCAATCATAGTTTAAATAGCAATCTCAAGATTGTTTAGTTAAGTGAAATAAATGCCAATAGCAATACTTCCTGACATAGACGAGCAGAGATGTATCGGATGCGCACTTTGTGTGGAAATCTGTACAACTCTCGGTCCAGACGTACTCCGCGTAAAGCCCGTTGAGGGCTGGAAGAGGGGAAAGGCATTTGTCTTTTATCCGGAGAGATGTATCTCTGACGGCGCATGCATCGGCGTGTGCCCGACAAAGTCCATCTTCTGGATGAGGCCAATGAACTACACCGCCGGACAGCCGGTACCTCTTCACGCAAACGGAGTCTTCCAGAAAGGCTGGGCAGAAGACGCCGCCCTCTAGGCGGAGTCTCTGTACACCTCTTTTTTCATTTTTTAGATGCGACCTCCTCGGGCCGGTCATGCCGCGCGCCCCAAGCTGTTGTACAGGCGGCACGCTGGTCCCTTTGCATGGCGTATTGTGGTATCATGCCTCTGGGACGTGGTGCGGGTTCTGGCCCATGCGCCTCCTCTCGGTCTTGATGCCCTCTAGCATGGCATCAAGGAACGCATCCTCGGGCAGGTACGTCACCTCAAAGCGGTTCCTCTCAAAGAATGTGCGGAACGTCTCCCTTGTCTGCCCAAACCGCTCCGGGGCGTACTCCTGGCGGCTCATGACGTGGTGGGCCGCAGGGTACATGTCGGAGATCTCGATTGGTATCGGGCCCAGAAACGGGTTGTAGCTGCAGAACTGTACGTCGTCAGACTCTAGCCTCCTTCTTGCCGCGGCGTACTGCGGGGAGAGGTATGCCGGCTTTATGTCGGCATCCGCGAATATGCACAGGGTTCTCTTCTTTGAGGTGAACCTGCGCACCATGCGGTGGTACGAGGTTATCTCGGGCCGGAACTGGTCCTCTGCCGCAAAGAGAAAGATGGCCCTGTCCTTGAATTTTGCGGTGCCGTCTGCAAGGTACTGGTGGTTCTCCGTCAGGACGTCGCCCGCCTCAAAGAGCTTGGGGTGCGCCCGCAGCTTCTTGAAGACGTACTCCCACAGCCTTCCCTCGTGTATGGCCTCCCGCGTCCGGTTCACCTCGGCCTTTATGGAGTGCAGGTTGTGCAGGGCCAGGTTGTTGGTGCGGTCGGGGTGGCCAAGGGCGTGCAGCTCCTGCGGCGTGTGCCGGGAGCAGACCTCACAGGGGCAGGAGAAGCAGCTCATCTCTGCCAGGTGCCGCGTCCGGTCCTCCGTGATGTACCTGCCCTGCTTCGCGTACAGCACGTAGGACGCGGAGTCAAACGTGTCGCAGCCCAGGGCGACTGCCAGGGGTATGGTGAGCGGGTGGCCCGCGCCAAAGAGGTGCAGCGGCAGGCCCGGCGGCATCTGCCTCTTTGCGTGCATGATCATCTGGGCCAGCAGCCTGTACCGGTACGACTCCATGAACTCCACCGGGCTTCCCAGTGCGAGCATCTCAAAGCCGTACCCCACAAGGGACCTGGTGGATCTCCGGACCAGATCCATGTGCTCGCCGCCCTGTATGGGGCCAGCCCATATCTGCCCGTTGTCGGGGGAATCCTCCAGGGTCCTCTTGGAGACCTTCAGGGTGTGCTTCACGTGGCGCAGGGCCACGTCCCGGGGCAGCCCAAACCCCGTGGGTCGGTCCAGCGGTATCGCGATGTCTGAGTCTATCGCGGTCTCAAAGGATGCTATCTCCTCTGGCGTGACGTCCAGGTCGCCGTACTCCAGCACCTGGTACCCCCCCGAGTCTGTCATTACGGGGCCGTCAAACCCTATTATGTCGCGTATTGGCCTGCTGGTGTCGCCGTAGTTCTTTCTTGCCAGGTACGCGTTGGTGATCACAAGCTCGAATCCCAGCTCGTGAAACTTTGCCGCGGGTATGTTCTGCCTGACCGGGTGCAGGACCGGAACGTACGCCGGGGTGCTTACCCTTCCGTGGTTGGTGGTGAGCACGCCTATCCTGCCGGCAAGGTCGCTCTTGAGGATCTCAAACATGCCTGCGCGTTGGGCAGCGGGTTATTAATTCCCATTCAGTATGCAAAGTACCTCCTCAGGTCATCTCTCTGCAGCACCTGCGACAGCCAGTCCACGGCGTCGCCCGTGGTCCTGTGCCCCAGCGCATGCATCGCCAGATCCCGCACGGCAGTCGGCGTCCTGCCGGTTACGTCTATCTGGGTCACCTTTGCGATGCCAAAGCTCCTTGTGGCGTCGTACGCCACTATGCCCAGGATCTCACTCTGCAGGTTCTGGGACGCCTTGCGGGCCGGATATCCCCTGTCCCGGTATGCCCTCTCCAGGTCATAGGGGCTCCGCCTCAGCACCAGCGCCCTCTCCACCTGGGACTCGGCAACGACGTAGGGCGCCAGGTGTCCCACGACTATGGTGTCATCATCCAGGTATGGGGGAAGCAACTCCCGCAGCATGTCGGTGTCGACGCTCCGGTCGTCCTCGGCCGCGCCCAAGCGCTGCGCCAGCGCGGATATGTCAAGCGTCCTGCGGTGCAGCGACTCTGCCAGCAAGGCCGACAGGGTGTGCTTTCCCACCCCGGGGTTTCCGGTTACTATGATCGGCACACCCGTACTGGGGCGGGTCCGGTTAATTTACTGTGTTGTATCTGCGCCGCCCGGGAGGCAGCCTGCTCCCCGGCGCGGGGAGATCCGGCATCAAAGTGTTTATGTGTGGCCGTGGCATGGCGGATCCCTGTGCAGATCGGTCTATTGGGCAAGGCAAACGTCGGCAAGTCCACGTTCTTCTCTGCGGCGACGCAGACGCAGGTCCAGACAGGCAACTTTCCGTTTACCACCGTGCAGCCAAACGTCGGCGTGGCGTATGTGGAGTCGGAGTGCGCCTGCAGGCACCTGGGCATAACGCACGAGAACAGCCTGTGCTCCGGCGGCACCCGGCTCATTCCAGTAAAGATAATCGACATCGCGGGGCTGGTTCCGGGGGCCCACCAGGGCAGGGGACTGGGCAACCAGTTCCTTGACGATGCCCGGCAGGCCAGGGTGCTGATACATGTGGTGGACATAGCGGGGGCCACGGACCTGCAGGGACAGCCCGTCTCCCCCGGGAGCCACGATCCGCTGGAGGACGTGAAATTCGTCCAGGAGGAGTTTGACCAGTGGTTCCTGCAGATACTGATGCGGGAGTGGAACAAGCTGCGCCGGGAGCTGGTCCAGAAGAGGGCCAGCCTGGCAGACGGCATAGCGCGGCGCTTTAGCGGCCTGGGGGTGGAGAGCCACCAGGTGCACCAGGTCCTCCAGGAGATGAACCTGCTGGTGAAGAAGCCCGACAACTGGACCGACGGCGACAGGCTGGCGCTTGTCGTCGGGCTCAGAAAGATGACAAGGCCCATGATAGTAGCGGCAAACAAGGCAGACCTGTGCCGGGACCTTGCTGTCACAAAGGGCATCACCGGGTGCGACGTGGTGCCGTGCAGCGCAGAGGCCGAGCTGCTGTTGCGCAAGGCGTCCGGCGCGGGGCTTGTGGAGTACGCCCCCGGCGCCGGCACGTTTGCCGTCGGGCCCGGCGTGCAGGTGTCCGCCCAGCAGAGGAGGGCGCTGGAGACGGTGCGCGCCATACTTGGGAGGATCGGCACCACCGGAGTCCAGCGGGTGCTGAACGCCGCGGTCTTTGACATGCTGGGCATGATAGTGGTGTATCCGGTGGAGGACGAGACGAGGTTCACCAACAGGGACGGCGAGGTGCTCCCCGACGCAAGGCTGCTGCCTGCCGGCTCGGGTCCCCGGGACCTGGCCGCAACCATCCACGCGGATATAGAGAAGGGGTTCCTGTACGCCATAGACTGCAAGAAGAGGCAGAGGGTCGGCGTGGAGCACAGGCTCCAGAACGGGGACGTGGTTAAGATCGTCTCGACGGGAAGCAGGGGGGCATGATCTGCCTAGGTGTCGAGAGCACGGCGCACACGTTCTCGTGCGCCGTCCTGGAGAGGAGCGGCGGCCGTGGGACCATACGCTCTGATGTGAGGAGGATATACCGGCCCCCGGACGGGGAGGGGATACACCCCAGGGAGGCCTCGCGCCACCATGCCGAGTGCGGTCCGGACGTCCTGCACGAGGCGCTGCAGGAGGCAGAAGTGTCCGTGGGAGACCTGGACATGGTGGCGTATGCGGCAGGGCCCGGACTGGGCCCGTGCCTGAGGGTGGGCGCCGTGGTGGCGCGCTCCATATCGTCATACTACGGCATCCCGATATACCCGGTCAACCACGCCGTCGGGCACATAGAGCTGGGAAAGCTTCTCACCGGGGCAAAAAACCCCCTGGTGCTGCTGGTGTCCGGCGGCCACACCATGCTGCTGGCGTTCATGGTGGGCAGGTGGCGGGTCTTTGGGGAGACGCTGGACCTCACCCTGGGCCAGCTGCTGGACCAGTTCGGGAGATCCATCGGGTTTGCCTCGCCCTGCGGCAGGCAGGTGGAGGAGCTTGCCTTGGGGTCTGATGTCTACGTGCCGCTGCCGTACACGGTCAAGGGAAACGACGTGTCGTTCTCCGGGTTGCTGTCAGCCACAAAGCTGGCGTCCAGGAACGGCCGGGAGGCGGCCTGCTTTTCGCTGCAGGAGACGGCCTTTGCGATGATGTGCGAGGCGGTCGAGAGGGCGCTGGCCTTTACCGGGAAGAGGGAGTTTCTTGCCGTGGGCGGGGTCGCGGCAAACAAGCGGCTCTCAAGGATGCTGAGCCAGGTCTGCCGGAGGCACAGGGTCCGGTTCTCCGTCGCCCCGCTTCAGTACTCCGGCGACTGCGGCTCGCAGATCGCCTGGACCGGGCTGCTTGAGGCCGGCGTAAAGGGCGGCGCACCGCTGGAGGAGACCTTTGTCCGGCAGTCGTGGCGCCTAGACACCGTGGACATCGCCTACTAGGGCAGTGCCTGTATGCGGCCTGCGGGCCTACTTGTCGAGGTCGCCGATTGCCTGCTGTATGGACTCAAGCCAGCTCCCGTTGCTGAAGACGCCAAACTTGTAGGTCTTTGTGCCGTCGTCGACCCTTGCCGTAAAGCAGACCTTCTTCATCAGCCATCCCTCCTTCCAGACCTTCTCTACGTCACCTAGGGGAACGTCGATGACCGTGTCCCCGAACTTTTTTGTAAAGTCCATTATCCTTCCCTTGGTCTTGTCAAAGGCAAGCCGCCTGTTTGTCAGGGTCAGAATTCCGGCAAGCAGGGCATCCTCACTGCAGTCCTCCTGCCTGATCTTCTTCTCCCCTTCCTCCATGGCAGGATCAGGGCAGCGCGCGTTATAATTTTAGTGGACGGCTGGTTCACCCAGAAACTCGGGCGCAGGAGTGGCTGGCCGCATCATGTTGCGTCTGGTTGCATGATCTCCGCTTCCACCATTCCTGATGCGTCCGTATGAAGCTGCTCGACACAGCCCGGATTGGTCATGCAGAACTGACGCGCTGGCTGGCGCCCGAATTTCGGGGAGAACCGGCACGGGCCGCCCCGCCCAAAAACCCCCCAAGGGCCCGCCGGCGGTGCCTGGTTGGTAGTGCCAGCCTCCGGCAGGGGCGCGTCACCGCGTCCATGATCGGAGTCCGGAGAGCTGCGCAGTCGGCGCTCCCGGCCCTACCGCACCCGTGCCTGATCAGTTCTACGCCCCTGTCTGCAGCGGGCGGGCCGGACAGGAACCGGCAGGGAACCCGAACCCGCGGGCCGACCGACTTGGGGGTGTGCCCCGTCGGAGCCGCAAAGGTTTACAAGCGCTGTCCCGCCTTGCCTGGTTGCTCATGGAGAGGCTGACAAAGATTGCATTCTGTGTCGGAATCGGGATGGCCGTTTCATTGTTCGCCCTGTTTATGGTTGCAGCCCTTCCAGACATAATCAAGAGCGCGGCCAACCAGTGGGATGAGCTGGGCGACACGGGCAAGTCGGAGGCAGAAGTGCTGGCAAGGTTCCAAGGGCATCCGGCGTACGCGGCGATGTATGAGCGGTTCCCCGATGCCGTGGAGGAGGTCACGTACAGAGGGAATGGCCGCAGCTCCATGGAGGTAGGGGCCATGAATTTTGAGAGCGGCAGCCAGCTGGTGCTGGGCATGTCTATTTACGATGACAATGTGGACATCGGCGTGACTTGCACGAGTGATGCCAGGGACGGATCAACGCACATAGATGGCTTGTTCGCGGAGAGCTTTATCAGGAATACCGACTGCTTGGATGCGGCAGACGGTACCGGAACCTAGGGTGCGGCCAAGGCCGTGCCATTGCTGTATGGTCGGGCAGACGGCTGGCGCCCCCGGAGCGCGCATGATCCCCGTTCCTGACTGTATTCTCCGGCTAGAGGCGCGGCTGGTACACAAAAGGTTCCCGCAGCCGGACGGGATCGTCGATCACTACAAATAGCACATGTGCCAATCCCTATACCGATGGGTCTATTTGGCGGCAAGCCAGCGAGCTGTACCGTGTGCGGCAAGGAGCTCAAGCACAAGAGCAAGCCCAAGCGGGAGTGGAACATCAAGGGGCCGCTGTGCGGCGACTGCTACATGGACAAGGCAGAGGAGTTCTACGAGGGAAAGGTCAGGCAGCCCTGCAAGTCCTGCGGAACGGTAAGGAAGATAACCGATCTGTGGGAGCCCCGGTGGCAGTGGGACATGGACGGCTTGCTGTGCAAGGAGTGCTTTGACAAAAAGGAGGCGGGCCACAACACCAAGCGAAACTACTGCAGCCTCTGCAACGCCAAGATAGGGTTCATAAGGTACAACCCAAAGCCGAAGTGGAAGATAGATGGCCAGATGTGCCGAACCTGCTGGGACGAGCACAAGGCAAGAATGGGATAGGCGCTACTCTGTGTTGGGTCTGGCATGCCGCATCTAGACGGCTTCGATCTCTTTGTCTATGCCCGGCCTCACCTTGGTGAAGACGCGGAACCCGCATATGCACTTTATCTCCGGGAGCTTGCCCAGCTCCGTGTTTGACACCTTGGTTCCGCAGCGCAGGCACGCATAGTCTACGCTGTTCGGCTTGGCATCGCTCTCAAACTCAGACATGTCTCATCACGTTATCTTTACCTCGAGGTAGACGTCGTTGGGCGGGTCTATCCTGGTCAGCTGCCTGATGGCCTTCTCGTCTACGTTGATGACTATTATCCTGCGGTGCATTCTCATCTCCCACTTCTCATAGGTCTCGGTCCCGTTGCCGCAGGGCGACTTTCTTGTGGCCACATGCAGGCGCTTTACGGGAAGCGGAATCGGCCCCTTTACGCGGACGCCGGTGTTCTTGCCGATCTGGAGGATCTTGGTGCACACGCCGTCAAGTTTGGACAGGTTGATGCTGGTAATCTTGATTCGAGCACATTGGGACAACTGCTCCTACCTACACTTTGTGCTCTTCGGTAATCTGTTTTACAACACCGGCGGCAATGGTCGCTCCCATGTCACGCAGTGCAAACCTGCCCATCTCCGGGAACTCCTTGAATGTCTCGATCGGTGTAGGTCTGACCGGCCTGATCTTTACGATGGCAGAGTCGCCTACCTTGAGGAACTTGGGTGACTCTTCCTCTGCCGCTCCTGTGGCAGGGTTTATCCTTGAGACGAACTCCGAGATGGTGGCGGCTACCTGTGCGGTGTGGCAGTGCATCACGGGCGTGTATCCCGGGGCTATGGCCGTGGGGTGGTGAATTACTATAATGTGCGCCAAGAACTCCTTTGCGACCCGCGGCGGTGCGTCGGGCGTTCCCAGTACGTCGCCGCGCTTGATGTCCTTCTTGTCGATTCCCCGCAGGTTGAACCCGATGTTGTCGCCCGCCTCTGCCGTGGGCAACTGGGTGTGGTGCGTCTCGATGGATTTGATCTCCCCGACGGCTCCAGAGGGCATTACGACGATCTTGTCGGCTACCTTCATCGTGCCGGTCTCGACGCGCCCTACGGGGACGGTGCCGACGCCGGTGATCGTGTAGACGTCCTGGATTGGAATGCGCAACGGCTTTCCTGTGGGCTTTTCGGATATCTTGAAATCATCAAACACCTCAAGCAGCGTCTTGCCCTTGTACCACGGCATGTTCTCGGACTTCTTTACCAGGTTGTCCCCCTTCCAGCCGGATACGGGTACGAACGGAACGGCGTCTGCCTTGTAGCCCACCGATTTGATTAGCTTCTCTCCCTTTTCGCAGGCGTTCTTGTATGACTCCTCGCTGTAGTTGCCGACGTCCATCTTGTTGATTGCGACTATGAGCTGGTTTACGCCCAGCGTCTTTAGCAGGAATGCGTGCTCCCTCGCCTGTCCGCCAGGCGCGATGGCGGTGTCCGTCTCTCCCTCCTTTGCGGAGAGGACCAGGACTGCACAGTCGGCCTCGGATGCTCCGGTGATCATATTCTTGATAAAGTCCCTGTGGCCGGGCGCGTCTATCAGGGTGAAGAAGAACTTTGGTGTCTCAAACTTTTGGAACGCGAGATCGATTGTGATTCCCCTCTCCCTCTCGTCCTTGATGTTGTCCATTACCCACGCGTACTTGAAGGTGTCTCCCTTGCCGGTCTTCTCTGACTCTACGGCATGCTGGGCGATCGTTCTCTCGTCCACGACTCCCAGATCCATCAGGAAGTGTCCCCATGGTGGTGGACTTTCCGTTGTCGATGTGACCCGTTATTATCAGGTTCAGGTGGGGCTTGTTTGCCATATGGTTGCATCATCAGGGGGATTTATTACCGTTACGATTCTTTGACGAAATTTGGGGAATTCTTGAATTTTTTTTTGGCGCGTGTGTTCCTGCGTCTCTGCCCCGCGGGTGGGGAGGGTACGCCGTTGTGGGCGCAGGGCAAGTGATATTCTGTTGACCCTGCGGGTATGGTCGGGCCGGTTCTGCGGGTGCGGCGCTAGTCGGGATCCTCGTAGGATCCTCTCTTCTGGCCCGCGGAGGCATCCTCCACCGGCTTCATCTTCTCCTTTAGCATGTCCATCCGGGCGCGGTACCCCTGGGCGTACTCCAGCTCGTCTGGAACCAGCGTGGCCGGGTGCAGGAACCCCTGGCTTCTCATCGCCAGCGCCTTCTTGGTGGCGATCTCGCGTATGTGATCCCAGTCCGGGGTGGAGAACCCGTCAAAGGGCCCCGTGAGCTTGCCGCCGTGCATGCTGAAGACCAGCGACTCCACGATGGGGATGCAAAAGTTGATGGTGGCAGCGGAGTTGAGCCGGACCGGCATCAGCGGCATGTTGTGGCTTCCCCTGGTGTTGCCTGCGACATAGTGCGGGTTGTTGAATACGCTGCCTGCCTCCTCGGTGGCAGGAAAGTTCTTCTGCGTCCTGATCACGCATATGGGATCGTCCTTTCCCACGTAGGTGCCGGCTATGTTGTGCAGCCGGTCAGTCGACGCGGCGACTATGGGCTCGCCGTCCCTTGTCTCGATGGAGGAGACCACGTACCTTCCGGGGTACATCAGCGCCGCCTCCACGGTGGGCTTGTCCTCCCACAGCGTCAGGCGGGCTATCTTTCCCTCCTCCACGTCCATTATGTTGAATATGACCCCCCGCGCCAGGGACTCGTTTACGATCAGGCCCGTGTTGCTCAGCGCGTCCACGAACAGCCTGTAGAACGGGTAGTTGAACGCGCCAGGCTCGGTCTTGTCTGCCGCAAAGACGACAAACGCCTCGTTGGCCCTCTCCTCAAACTCCATCTCCGCCACGCCGGGACCCATGCCCTTTACGTTGCCGGAGAACGAGTCCTTGAGCAGGTCCTGGCCCGCGCCGTAGAGCCCCTCCTCCTTGGCGACCCGGGTTCCCTCCTCAAAGGCGCTCCAGGCCAGCTTGTGGATCTTGCTGTCGTCGGTGCCCCGGGTGTGGGTCATGAGTATGTGGACGTCGTCGCCGCAGTACCCGATGTAGTAGTCGATCAGCATGTCCTTGGCTGACTCGATGGTGTTCCTGACCGCGTCCAGCAGGCCGTCGCTGGGCTTTGTGTGGCCGCCCACTCCGCCCACGTCTGCCTTGATGGCAGATACGGTAACTCGCATATCTGTCGTGCTTTCTTCCTCGATTTATGTGTAAGTCCGTCGCCCGGAACCGGGCACGGCGCCGCCCTGCGTCCGGAACCCGGCGGCATGCGGGGGATCCTATGTTTGTGGGAGCGCGTCTTTTTGCAAAAGGTGCAGCTGCCTGCACCGGCTAGATGTATCTGAATATGGTTCGCTTCTCTGCCTTTGGAATATCGCCTACCAGGGCAAAGTTGTACAGCGGGTATGCCCTCTTGTACTGCTTCATGAAACTCCATGCCACATCGCTTGTCTTGAACTCCGTCCTTATCCCGTCGATCTCCGACTCGTTGCCGTACACGTCAAAGGTGACCACAAAGTAGCCCTTTGGCCTGTTGTGGGGGCGCGCCCTTAGCAGCCAGACGAAGGCAAAGATCAGCACGGTGCCCAGGATTACAGTCTCCCCGGCAAACCGGAAGAACGAGAGTACCACGTTGGGGATGAGCTGGCCAAATATGTACACCACAAGGTGCGAGAACGACAGCACCGCCAGTGCCATCAACACATACGTCTTGGCGCTGCCAAGATCCCAAGGCATTCCCATCAGTAACCCCTGTCTTTCTTTTGATTTAACTCTTGTTGCTCTCGAATGTGCGTAGGGCCGGATGCCTTTTTGCCCGATCCCGGGGTTGCCCATCTGCTGGCTTTCACGTACGGCCCGGCGCGGCAGGCCGCCTGATCCGGGGCATCGCCCGTATGCGGGCAGGAGCCGCATCAGCGTCGCGGGGTATCTTGTGGCCCGTGAGCCGAGTTAACATAAAAGATAAATCCCGACCGGCACGACACCAGCTCACATTGACCAAAAAGGCCGTGCTGGCGTTCTCCGGGGGACTTGACACGTCGGTCGTCGTAAAGTACCTGCAGGAGAAGCACGACATGGATGTCGTAACGGTCACAGTCGATGTCGGCCAGGGCGATGACTATGCGTCAATCGACGCAAAGGCCAAGACCCTTGGGGTGCGCAAGCACTACACCATAAACGCAAAGGAGGAGTTTGCCCGCGACTACATCGTCCCCTCGATCAAGGCAAACGCGCTGTACCAGAAGAAGTACTGCCTGGCAACGGCCCTGGCGCGCCCGCTGATCGCCCGGAAGCTCCTGGACATCGCAAGGGTGGAGAACGCCGACGCGCTGGCGCACGGCTGCTCCGGCAAGGGAAACGACCAGGTGCGCTTTGACATTACCATGAGGGCAGGCTCTGACCTTCCCATCATCGCCCCCATCCGCGACCTGAACCTGGACCGGCCGGCGGAGCTGGAGTTTGCAGAGGAGCACGGCATACGCATAGACGGCGTGGCCAAGAAGTTCAGCATAGACCAGAACCTGTGGGGTCGCGCCCTGGAGGGCGGCGTGCTGGAGGATCCCATGATGGAGCCCCCGGGCGATGCGTTCATCTGGGTAAAGACCAGGGATCTTCCCGACGAGCCCAGCTACCTTGAGATACAGTTTCAGAGGGGGGTTCCCGTTGCGGCAGACGGGAAGACACTCCAGCCCGTGGATCTCATCGAGTACGTCAACCAGAAAGCTGGTGCCGCAGGAGTGGGAATAATCGATCACATAGAGGATCGCGTGGTGGGGATAAAGTCCAGGGAGGTGTACGAGACGCCCGGCGCGTCCTGCCTCATCGAGGCGCACTCGGACCTGGAGAAGATGGTTCACACGTCACACCAGACCCGGCTCAAGTCCATACTGGACGACGAGTGGGCCCGGCTTGCATACTCGGGGCTCTGGGAGGATCCCCTCCGAAGGGACATAGACGCATTCATTGAGAGCTCCCAGGGCGCGGTCTCGGGTACCGTGCGCATAAGGATGCACAAGGGATCCATGAGGGTGGTGGGAAGAAGCTCCGAGCACTCCCTGTACAGCCGCGAGGCGGCCACCTACGGGGCAGAGTCCTCCTTTGACCAGCGGCTTGCCCGCGGCTTTGTGAGCCTCTGGGGGCTGCAGTCAACAGAAGCTAATAAATTACAAGAAGGAAGGCTGAAAAAAATATGAACTGCCCCGAATGCGATGCTGACGTGCCAGTACCGGATGACGCCGCCGTGGGCGAGATAGTCTCCTGCCCGGACTGCGGGGCAGACTATGAGATATCCAAGAAGAACGGCTCCGCGATCGAGGTAAAACAGGCGGAGACCGTCGGCGAAGACTGGGGAGAGTAATGCCAAGGATCGGCATCGTCTTTGACCGGCTGCGGTCAGAGGAGAAGATGCTGCAAAAGGCGGCAGCCGGCATGGGCCACGACGCGGTCATGACAGACGCCAAGATCACACAGTTTGACACCGATGGCCAGGCGCCGGATCTTGGCGACGTGGTTCTGGAGAGGTGCGTGAGCCACTTTCGGGGACTGTACTTTGCCTCATGCCTGGAGTTTCTGGGGGTTCCGTCCGTGAACAGCTCCGCAGTCTCGCATTTATGCGGAAACAAGATGCTCACCACGCTGCAGCTAAAGAGGAGCGGAGTGCCCACGCCGCGAACCCTCTTTGCGTTCTCCCAGGAGGCGGCAGCCGAGTGCATCGAGCGCGCCGGATACCCCATGGTGATAAAGCCCGTCATCGGCAGCTGGGGAAGGGGCGTCATGAAGGTGGCAGACCGGGATACCATGGATGCCGTAATCGAGGTCAGGGCGCTCTCAGACACCCCCCACGACAGGATCTACTACCTACAAGAGGTGGTAAAGAGGCCGCCCCGGGACATCCGGGTCGTTACCGTCGGGGAGAGGCCGGTTGCCGCCATGTACAGGAGATCCTCCGGCGGGTTCAAGACGAACGTGGCCGCCGGAGCGGATCCCGAGCCCTGCGAGATTACGGGCGAGCTGGAAGATGTTGCGGCCGCCGCGTCCCGTGCCGTCGGCGGCGGGATCCTGGGCGTGGATCTGATGGAGGACGAGGCAAGGGGGCTTGTGGTCCACGAGGTGAACAGCACGGTGGAGTTCCGCGGCCTTGCCACCGTAGCCCGGCGGGACATTCCCCGGGAGATGGTGGAGTTTGCCGTCGGCATGGCGCAAAGGTAGCGCTACCGGCAGTCTTTTGTCTCGTGCCTCTGGAGTGACTTCTTTGACACGTCCGTCTCCCAGCGGCTGTCTTTTGATGTGTGCCGGCTCGGGTGGTCCTTGTGCCGGGATATCCTTGCCGTGCGCAAAAAGCCCGCCGCCGGCATCGGGGCGGGCCGCCGGCCAGGCCAATGAACAAGTTGTTCATTCCGGTTAAATGCTACTTTTCTGAGTATGGCGCAGCATGCAGGATACAGCCAGGCGCAAGGCAGCCAGCCTTGCGCTCATGACAATAATGCTTGCCGGCGGGATGACCATCGCAATGCCCGGCGAACCGCCGCAGGCAGCGGCGCAGACAGGGACCCTTAGCGTCTCGGCTACGGGAGCGTTTGGCGGACCGCAGATACTTGAGATTGTGGTGGACGACCCCTCAAGGGACGGGCTTGACCCTAGCACCCCGCTACCCGACGTCCGCATAGACGGGAGCAAGGTGGTCATGGCCCAGTCAGACACCGGAAAGTGGTATGCCTACGTGGCGTCTGACGAGCTTACCTTAGAAGTCAGCGACATGCTGGGCCCGTTCACCTATATCGCCGCAGACGAGGCCGCGTTCATAGGGTATGGCGGTTCCGGCGCGGAGTCCTTCTTTGCCGACGCCGGGCGGTTCCTGAACGCCAAGGAGCTCGGCGGCAACAACGGCGGGCAGATCGGCGTCTTTGCTGCCGACTGGCCCGTCATCCAGGTGTACGGATTCAAGGACGACTCGCCGGTCGACATCACGCACAACGCCGAGACGGTAACCCTGAGGTACAAGGCAGATCTCAGCGATCTTGCCTCGATACGGGTTGACAGGGTAGATGTGCCGGCAGGCGGCCAGGTGCATGTGGCGATTAGCGACGTCCAGCTGAACCTGAACCCGACCAAGGACGACGTGTGGTACATGTGGGCCAACGGCACTACAACGTACGGCGATTTCAACCCGGAAGCCACCGACTGGCAGGACATATTCCGGGGCGACACCGGGAGGCTTGCCATCGACAACCTCGACCCGATAACCATCGGGTATGTCGCAGGCGAAGGCGCGATGGTAGAGTTTGAGGAGACCGGCCCTAGCACGGGCGTGTTTGTCAGCTATGACACAGATGAGGAGTCAAGGATCACGGTCAACGGCGACGCTCGCGCCGGCAGTACCTTCACGGTGGACTATGCAGGCAACGACGCGCAGGTGATAGTCGATGACTTTGACTTTGCCATGGAGCTGGTGAGGGACGGCATAGGCAGCACGTGGGACTCTGGCGAGGATCTCACCGTCAGACTGTCTGCCGAGGGCCTGAACCTCAACACCCTCAAGGATGACGACATGACGATAGCAGACGACGATCTTCCCGTGCTGATACTGGGAGAGCCCATCACGCTGGCCACCGTGGCCTCCGCAGAGGTGACCAGCGACACGGCACTTAGCGAGGCGTGGTCCGTCAACTACGATACACATGTGGCCACGCTAACGGTAACAGATACCGACACCACGGTTGCCATAACGCTGACAGAGGAGCAACTGGAACGGCTCAAGGACAACGGCGCACAGAGCCACTATGTACACTACTCCAGCACCTTTGCTGCCACCACCGATGCCCAACTCGTAGGCTCTGACGGCACCATTGCCATAGCAAACGGCATAACGGCAATAGATGTGGCAGATGGAGCCGACGGCAGGTTCAACGTAACGTTTACCGCACCCGGGTCGGTGTTCACCCCGGACGTTATGGAACAGAACGCGAATCTGCAGAGCGCCGTAGCGAATGCCGAGGAAGAGGTTGCCATGGACGAGGCCACCGCCGATACCGTCAAGATTATGGCCGCAAGCGGACTGCAGTCTGATGACGTCTATTTCTCCATTATTGACATCGACACTGCCGTCTTTGACACCCCCGAATCCGTCCTTGAGGAGGTCAGGAGGATCATTGGCGACAACCTCGTTACCGCCGAGGCCACGATCGTGGCGGACATCTTCACCTTTGGGGCAGACGCAAACCACGCAATCTACAGGGCGCTGCTGGAGGAGACCGGTCCCGGTTCCGCCGTGTTTGAGGGAACGATCGAGTACAAGATGCTCAACCAGATCAATGCAGATGACCCCGGGACGCACGCAGACATTGCAGCCGTGGGAGACGAGCTGGTCATCATACTGGACGGGGACTACACCGGCACCGACGCACCAGAGGTCAAATATGACGAGGACAACGTGAGCGAGGACGCGCCGACGCACACAGGCGAGGTCAGCTTTGATGCCGGCGCCTACACGGTGGCAGACGAGGTGACCGTGACCCTAGTGGATCCCGACCTGAACGTAGAGTCCGACGGGATCGACATATACAGGGTTGATGCCGCAAGCGAGGATGCCGCAGACACCCTGCTGCACCTTGAGATGGCCGACGGCTGCACACCGGGCGACCTTGCGGCGTTCTCACTGCGCGAGTCTGCAGACGGCAGCTTTGTGGGGACGTTTGACGTTCCAAGGGTATGCGGCGGCGCTACGACGACAGGCAAGAGCCTCTCGGTCACCTACTATGACTTTAGAGATAGATACGGCGGAATGACCGAGTGGAGAGACTCGGCCACGGTGCGCGCAGATACCGGCTCTGTCAGCCTTGACAGGACGGTCTATCCGGTGCCTGCCGATGGCGCCAGTATTGTCGTGCATGTGTCGGTTCGCGACGCAGACTTTGACGAGTCGTCCTCCAGCGTGGAGAGCATCAGGCTTGCCAACGACACGCCGCCGGTGGTTGTGAGGATAGGGGAGCAGGCGGTCGCTGCGCTCGGCACAGTGGACAACCCACTCTCAGAGACCTTTGGCGACTCTGGCGTCTTCGAGGCCTCCGTGGAGATCGGGGGCGGCGTTGCCGCCATAGGGCAGGGAAGCGTCATTACGGTGTCATACACGGATCCGACGGGCGCCTCGGGCAGCGAGAACACGGTGACCGATTCTGCCGTGTTTGACCTGAGAAGTGCTACACTGCAGTCAGGCAAGTCAAGCTATGTGATAGGCCAAGATGCGCTCCTGACGCTGATAGAGCCGGATCTCAACCTTGACTCTGCCGACCGGGAGTCCATTCCACTGGAGCTCATCGGCTGGGACTCTGAGGCGGGCGAGACAGATCTTGGCGATGCGGTGTTTGGAGCGGTACCGCAGTCGCTCAGGGAGACCGGCCCTGACACCGGGGTCTTCCAGGGTGTCATCACAATTCCAAAGGCGATCAACGGCAACGCCCTAGAGCGCGGCGAGCCAATCACACTCACATATGTGGACGAGGGGCCGTCGGGCGCCGATACCGTGGGCGACGACGAGAGGGATGTCGAGCTCTTCATTGCGACCTCGGATCTCGGCGCGGCCATCGAGCTTGACCAGGACACCTACACGTGGACCGACAAGGTCTTCATCACCATCGTGGCGCCGGACTACAACTTTGACTCTAATGTGATCGACGAGATCGGCGGCAAGGACGACGGCGAGGTCGCCGTCAGGACAAGGGCCGCCGAGATCGACAGATACCGGCTTGCCGAGACGGGCCCCGACACAGGCGTGTTTGCCGGCGAGGTGACGCTCACCGGCTTCACCTACGGCAAGATACACACCAGCATCGAGACCGGCGGTAGCGGGCCGACCGACGGCACCCTAAGAACGAACAACGAGGACGGACTCAGTGTCTCATTCGAGTACTCAGATTCAGAATCCCCGCTTGTGGCCTCTGCGCTAATCCGGTGGAACGTCGGCGAGGTGCAGTGGCTTGAGACAGGTTATGCGGCTACCGGTTCTGGCGTGGTGAGGGTGACCGATCCCGACATGAACACAAATCCGGACGCGGTCGACGACATCGGCATCGTCGTCTACTCTGATACGTCCCTGGGCGGCATCGATCTCACGGTGACTGAGACGCAGGAGTCGTCTGGCGTCTTTGAGGGGGTGGTGGAGTTTGACCCGTATGTCGCCTCGCAGGGGCACAGGCTCCAGGTTTCGGAGGGCGACATAGTCACCGCCGCGTACGACGATGAGACGCTTCCAAAGCCCGACGGCAGGGGCGACAGCCTTGCAGTTACGGCGACTGCGCTGATCGGATCCGCCGTGCCGCCGCTGGAGAGGGTGTCGGCCTCAAACCTGGCCATGGTGGATGCCTCGGGCAGCATGATGCCCTCGGTGTCGGCCGGCCAGCAGATCCAGATCACCGCCGACCTGACAAGCGGCCAGGACACAGACCAGTACACCACATACCTGGTCCTGGTGGAGGACGGGGACGGCGTACCGGTGCACATATCGTGGATATCCGGATCCCTTGGGGCGGGCAAGACGTTCAGCCCGTCGCAGTCATGGACGCCGGATGCGGCCGGCAGGTATGTGGTGACCGTATTCGTGTGGGAGTCAGTCACCAACCCGACCGCGCTCTCCCCGCAGCTCTCGATGGTGGTAGATGTGGCGTGATGCCGGAGAAATTTCCCTCACGTCCTAGCTTCTGGAGGCAGTCTGCGCGTGGGTTTTGGGCTTTGGGTGGGACTCCGCACATGCGATCCCGGGGCCCTACGGCCGTATGGAACGGAGTGCCTACTGCCGGCATCTGGGTAGTCCTCCTGCAGGACTAGTGAACAAGTCGCTGTGGGATCCAAAAAGCAGTTCCCCCCTCACGCCGCATGATACTCCTCCCCCGTCTGCTCGTCAATAACGGTCTCTCCTTTTGGAGGCATCTTGCGCACAAACGCCTGGGCCGGCGTCTCCCGCTCGTCCCTGCTCAGTGACATGTGCGGCCTGTCATAACTGTACCACTGCATGAACAGATCTATGGGATCGCTCTTGCGCATCGGTATTGCCTCAAACTCGGGCAGCTTGCGCTAGATCTCCCCGTGCAGCCTCTCCAGCCTGCCGTTGGCCTGCTGGTGCTTGACGCGCGCCAGAATCTGGCGGATTCCCAGCCCGACCAGCCTCTTCTCAAAATCAGACGCCCCCTTCCTCTTTGCCTCTGACGCGTTGCATAGAACTGGGAGCCGCGGCCGGTCATTATCGAAGCCGGCTTGCCGTGGTTCTTTACGGCCCCCTCCAGCACGGCCAGCGCGTTCTCCGTAGCGGCATGCTCAAACGCCCCGTACCCGGTGACAAACCGCGAGGCATCGTCTTCATGGCACGGGAACCACCTGCCGTCGCCTGACAGCTTGAAGTCCGTGTGCCACATGGAGTTGGAGTAGGTGCGCTCGTAGCGGATCCACTTCCGTCTCTGGCTCTTCTTTGGCTGCCCGGATGCCAGATGCTCGTCCCTCAATATCTTGTGTGTGGTGCTGTGGGGGATATTTATTCCGGTGCTGTACCCTATGCCGTCCTGCATTCCTGCAGCCCCCAGGTGCTCCCTGTAGCGGATGGAGAGCACTGCAGGGTGCTCCCGGCGGCCCGGGAGGCCGCTCTCGGGTCCACCTATGCGTGCAGGATAGAGTACCTTGTCGGCATCCGCGTGCCTGTACCTGGCCCAGAGCTTCTTGACTCAGCGCGTGGATACGTCCATGGTCTGGGCAACATGGTTGGCGGTGGCCCCCTTTCGCTTCTGGGCTATGATCTACCTTACCTTGGATTCATCTAGTTTTTTCATTACACGAACCCTTCGGCCGCCTATATGTCTCCACAGCCTGGCGTATCCTGGCCGGATCCGAACACCTTCATTCTTGGTAAGGGAAACACTCACACTGTCTTTCAGGCGCTTTGCTCCTTCTGACGGGGGTGAACTACTTTTCGGACTACAGAATGAACAAGTCATTCATCTCCCTTAAATAGAATTTTTAGAACGAAAATGCAACAATATGAACAACAATTTACAACGCAAATTAACTAGTTTCACACTTATGACGATCATGTTTGCAGGTGGGATGACCATCGCAATACCCGGCGAGATGCCGGTTGCAGTCGCGCAGACTGGAATGCTCAGCGTTTCAGCCACGGCCGCCCCCGGCAACTCCTTTGGAGGGCCGCAGATAATCCAGATTGTGGTCGACGACCCGTCAAGAAGTGACATTGCTACGACTACCTCATCACCGGACGTTACCATAGATGGCACGACGGTAATTATGCAACAGGCAGACACCGGAAAGTGGTACGGACACGTTGCCGACAGCTCAGCTGTTGCGGCTGCGAATGGCGTTATTACTACTAATATTGCTACTGCTACCATATCTGCTCCGCCAACGCGCAGTGGTGTGACCTTTGACCTCCAGACAAATATCGACTTTGATGACGACTCAGACATCGATGTCGTGCTCGGCGACGAGACAATCACCCTGCACTACGAGGAAGATCTTGACGGTCTTGCCACGATAAGTACTGACAGGGCCGGGGCGCCGATAGGCGGCCAGGTCCATGTCACGGTAAGCGACTTCAGGCTGAACCTGGATCCAACCGGGGAAGACGAATTGGTCGTGTATACAGACGGTTCAGCGGCAGCATATAATGACGACAACACCAACGACATAATCGACGACGACGAAAACTGGGTTGGAGTCTTTGCCGGCAACGGCGGAGAGTTCACAGTTACCGCAGATGACGGCGTAGTAGATGTTACTGCTGCTCCAACAGATCCACCGGTCGGTACGATAACACTGACGGAGACTGGAGCAAACACAGGCGTGTTTGAGAGCCAGAATGGCGACGACAGCTCGAACATAGTGGTCACCGGCGACGAGAACGACGACTTTACGATAGAGTATGCCGACAGCGACGTCCAGGTGTTCATCGAGGACTTTGACTCCACTCTGGAGCTGATAGCCGACGGCACATGGAACTCTGGCGAAGCGGCTACCGTGAGGCTGTCCAACGAGAACCTCAACACCAACACCCTGACGGATCAGGACATGGAGCTAGGCGACGACAACCTTCCAATACTGATGTTTGGAGATCCCATCACGCTAGCTACTGTAGAGATAGAGCCGGTTGTTGATGAAAATAACCCAACAGAACTTGGCGACAGATTGACTATCGATGAAGACACGCATGTGGGCAAACTGATGAAATCAACAGCTTTTGCCGCTGGCGATGAATACACCTTTACCGTAACACTGAGCCCAGAGCAGAACGAACGGCTCAAGGATAATACACTGAATAACTATATCCATTACTCAAGCGACCTTGAAGCCGCTACTAACGCACATACCGCTGATCTGACCGCCGAGCCAGACAGAACCACTACTCCCACTGCCGTAGAGAATGGAGCAAAAATAGCCGTGCATGCTAACGCTGACGGCATATTCAACATAACGTTTGCCGTACCTCAGGCAGTACCAGAAGGAACAATGCTAACTGACGAAGCCGTTACTGCCAACAACAACATCCGGAGAGCTGTAGATAATGCTGCGTTCGGCACTAATGTTGCTGGTGTTAAGGGTGCTGTTGTTGCTACGACAGCTCCAGTCGAATTTAAGGCGGATGTTGCGGACATTGATGATGATGCGGATCTAGATGATGCCAAGGCAGCAGTTGAGAGGATTGCCCTAGAGCACATAGTTACCCATGACTTCGCGATCGCAGCAGACATCTTCACCTTTGGTGACGGAGTAAACAACGCGATCTACAGGGCACTACTGGAGGAGACCGACTCCGGTTCCGGCGTGTTCGAGGCAACGGTCGAGTACCAGATGCTGAACCAGCGCACCGTCGACGATGAAACCACGCACCAAAGCGTGGACGCCGTAGGCGACGAGCTGGCCATGATCCTGAACACGGACTACACGGGCAGCGACGCACCAGAATTCACATACGACGGGGACAACGCAAGCGAGGACGCGCCGACGAACACCGGTGAGGTGAGCGTCGATGCTTCCACCTACAGGGTGTCAGACGACGTGACCATCACACTGACAGACGCGGACCTGAACACCGACTCTGGCGCGCGTGAGATATACAGAATTGCCAACAGCAGCGGCACCATAACGCCAACAATTGCGAGCATAGCGATAGGCGACTTGGGCTGCGCAAGCGAGATAGGAGACGTCTCACTGCGTGAGACGGCATCTGACAGCGGCGTGTTCGAGGGATCTTTCGAGGTTCCAGCCGAATGCGGCACTGGCGATAACCCACCACTGACAACAGGCGAAAGCATAACAGTCACATACGTTGACTTCAGGGACGAAAACGGCGGAGACAGCGAATGGACCGACTCGGCCACGATTGGCGCGGACACCGGCTCTGTCAGTCTTGACAGGACCGTCTATCCAGTTCCGCCAGGTGACAAGGTCACGATAGCCGTGGCAGTTGACGACTCGGATGTCGACACGTCATCTAGCAGCACACAGACGATCGGGACCGATCGCGTGGAACTGACCGTAGCCGGAGTGATAGTCGACTTGGGCGAGCTTAAGGAGACCGAGCCTGACTCGGGCATCTTTGATGCATCGGTAACGATTGGACCCTCTGTCACCGGCAAGGACGCCAATGATCCTGATGAGGACAAGACAGTTCGCATAGAACAGGGAGACATCATCACCGTGAAATACACAGACGAATCAGACGCGTCTGGCAACGAAAACTCGGTGTCCGACTCTGCAACATTCGACCTGAGAAACGCCGTACTGACGTCAGACAAGTCAGTCTACGTGATAGGCCAAGACGCGCTATTGACGCTGATAGAGGCGGATCTAAACCTCGACTCTGGCACCATAGACAACGTTGGCCTTGAGCGCATAAATTGGGACTCTGAGGCATACGACGGCTCACTTGCTGATGCAAGAGCAGACTTGGGCCCGGTACCGACAAATCTCAGGGAGACAGGAGAGAATACTGGAATCTTCCAGGTTGTCATCACAATCTCAGAGAAAATCGGCAGTAACTCACTGGAGCGCGGCGAGGAGATCACGCTCACCTACACAGACAACGGACCGTCAGGTGCCGACTATGTGGGCGACGATGAGAGAGACGTCGAGCTGCAAATCGAGACATCCAACTTTGGCGCAACAGTAGAGCTTGACCAGAACGTCTACACGTGGACCGACAAGGTGTTCATCACCGTTGTGGCATCAGACTACAACTTTGACTCCAACATAGTCGACGAGGTCGGCACGGACGGAAAGGGTGAGATCACCATCAGGACGCGGGCAGCCGAGCTACAGTACAGGCTCGCCGAGACAGGACCCGACACGGGCGTGTTCACCGGCGAGCTGGTGCTCACCGGCGACGCTGACGCACTTGACGAGGGTGGCCCAAGCGGCAGAACATCTGAAAGCACAGCTGGCCCGACCGACGGCACCATCAAGACAAGGACCTCAGACGGAATCAGCATATCCTTCGACTACTCCGACAGCGAAGCCCCACTGGTGGCCTCTGCGCTCATCCGATGGAACGTCGGCGAGGTGCAGTGGCTCGAGGCAAGCTACGCGGAGACCGGTTCGGGCATCGTGCGGATAATCGATCCTGACATGAACATCAACCCAGACGCAGTCGACAGTCTTGACGCGGTTGTCTTTTCAGAGACATTCATAGGCGGCATCGAGCTCACATTAACTGAGACGCAAGAGGCCTCTGGAATCTTTGAGGGCACAGTCGAGTTTGATCCAGAGTCCGCTTCAGACGGACACAGGCTTCAGGTAACCGAGGGTGACATAATCACCGCCGCATACGACGACGAGACACTTCCAAAGCCCGACAACGGCGACACACTCGAGATCACCGCGACGACACTGATCGGATCCATCGTACCCCCACTGGAGCGCGCGCCGGCATCAAACCCGGCCATAGTGGATGCCTTTGGCAACTCAATAGCTTCGGTATCGGTCGACCAGCAGGTTCTGATCACAGCCGACCTCACAAGCGGACAGGACGGGGAACAGGACTTTGCGTACCTAGTCCAGATACAGGACGAGGACGAAGTCACAGTCCAGCTGTCATGGAGCGCCGGCACCCTTGGTGCTGGAGACACGTTCAGCCAGTCACAGTCATGGACACCTAGCGAGACAGGAAGTTACACGGCAACCATATTCGTATGGGAGTCCGTCAACAACCCGACCGCACTGTCACCACAACTCTCAATAACGATAGACGTAGTATAATACTAGAAGAGTTTCTTTTTTCTTTTTTATTGAGTACGCAAGGTGGCCTGCGCACGGCTCCAGACTCCACATGCGCCACCATCACTACACAGTCAAGGTACCCCAAGTGGCTGGCTCGGGGATGCATGCCAGCCTGGCGTTGAATCCTTCCTGTCGCATGGACTACTTTGGATCATAAGTAAGGCTGTCCACATAACCACTGGTGTGGCCAGGAAGATCTGCGACACCATATCCGACAAGGGCATGGTACCGCGCATCTGGCCCAAGTCCAATACCGTCTGCAAGAACGGGGGCAGCCAGGCCTGGGGCGATATGACCCAAACACACAGGGACGAGCTGGCCCGGTTCATGAACGAGTACCACCAGCGCAGCATCATCTAGGCCGTCTTTGGCGCAATCAAGAAAATGTACGGAAACCATCTTCGGAGTCGTAGGCGCGCCCGGCAGAGCCGAGAGATAGCAATCCGGGTCATCTGCTACAACATCGAGGTGGTCGCGCGATCGCACGTAAAAAGTGGCAGGCTCACGTACGAGTCGCTCACTGCAATGGTTGCGTAACAGGCGCGGTAGCCGCCGCGCCGTCCGTGGGGGAGCCTGCGCACCACCCCTTGGTTCAGATTGGATTTTACGATTTCGGGCAGACTTTGAAGCCGGCGATATGCGAAAAATACCACAATCCCAAGAATTCGGATAATGCCGTACCGGTACGGCATCAGCGGATGATTGTGGGGTTATGTCTCTAGGACACAGCCAGACGGCAGGGGGTTGAACACATGATAACTCCTCCTATCCGCCGTCTTTGCTGGATCAAACCCGCCAAACCACACATATATCTCCCGACAGTCATAAGCAACCGATGCAAAGCAACAGTGCCCGGAGCAAAAAGCTCGTCATAGCCGCATGGAAAACCTACCTGACACTGGCAGAGTCAAGAAACCTTGCAAGGGAGATCAGGGACTGGGCCGCAAAGAATCCCCCAAGCTGCGAGATCGTGCTGGCGCCCTCGTTCCCGCACATAGTCCCGGTAAGGCACACCATCGGCACCGCCGTAGGCATAAGCGCGACAGAACGTGGATCTGGCAGGCCGCGGGGCCTATACGGGACACACTCCGCCGCAGATGCTCTCCGATGCCGGGTGCAACTATGTGCTTCTCGGGCACTCCGAGCTTCGAAAGCACAAAAAAGAGACGGACCAGATCCTAAAAAAGAAGACAGAGGCGGTGCTGGCAGGGTCAGACATGGGCGTGGTGCTCTGCATAGGCGAGAACTACAGGCAGAAGACCGAGGGCAGGACGCTGGACACGCTGGAGTCACAGCTAAGAACGGGTCTGGGAGGCATCCCCGGAGTCGGTGTGGCCGGCAGGCTGGATATTGCCTACGAGCCGGTGTGGGCAATAAGCTCTGAGAATCCCGCAAAGCCCGCCGGCGCCGCAGGATGTCGATGCGATCCACGGGAGGATCAAAAGCGTCCTGGAGCAGCTCTTCGGCGCGCAGATCGCCAAAAAAATCAGGATCCTCTACGGGGGCAGCGTCAGTCCCTCCAACGTGGGCAGCTATATCGGGCAGCCCAACATCGACGGCGTCCTGGTGGGCAGCGCCAGCACAAGGCTTTCCGGAGTCATAGACCTGCTAAAGGCGGTAGAGTACTCGATCAGACCCGAGTCCCCATAGGCCCACAACGGCAGGCGCCCCGCATGCTACAGCCGCCGGCATGGCGGCGGCACCTTGGATGCAATACTGGACAGCCGGGCCGGAGCCCAAACCAAAACATGGCGCAAAAAGAAGCGGCACCCCGTCCCGCATCCTCCTGATGCGCCGGGTTCCCACATGCACCATCTCCAGCAATGGGGTCGCAAGGCGCGAGCGGGCTGTTCCGTGCGGCCCCCAGCGAAGCCCATTCCACAGGCAACCCTAAATTATGCCATGTGTGGTATACCTCCCAGTGAGGCTGCTCAAGCGAGGTGCCGAGGGGGATCTCTTTGAATCCATGTGGAACCAAAAGAGGTGCGTCATCAAGGAGCGCAGGCCAAAGGCCTACAGGAATCCCCAGCTCGACTACAGGATACGGAGGGGCAGGACGATCCGAGAGTCTGAGATCATACGCCAGGTCAAGGCGCTGGGCATCCGGGCGCCCCTTGGTCTACTTTGCGGATGCCGCCAGATGCCGGTAGTACCTGCAGTATGTGGACGGCCCTACCGTGCAGAGCCTGCCGGCGCAGCAGCTGGCAGCCGCCTGCCGCGACATCGGAAATATCACTGCCACGATGCACCGCAACTCGATAATGCACGGCGACCTGACCACGTCCAACTTTATCCTGCAGCATGACAGGATATGCGCCATAGACTTTGGGCTGTCGCAGCGGACAGCCAAGCCGGAGGATCACGCAATCGATCTCCGCCTCTTCAAGGAGATACTGGGCAGTGCCCACACGGAGTCGATGGAACATGCATGGGGCAGCTTCTGGAGGGGTACGGGGGCGCAATAGGGCAGGCCAGGTTCGAGAAAATCACAAGGCTCGTCTCGGTGATCGAGTCAAGGGGGAGGTATGCCAGCGTCGTCTAGCGTGCTCTTTGCATCCTCCAACGGGCACAAGTTCGCCGAGGCAAGGGAGATACTGGCGGGGTTTGGGATAGACGCAGTCCACTTTCCATGCGACATAGAGGAGGTGCAGTCAGATGACATCGAGACGATCGCGGGAAAAAAAGTCCGTCGCCGCCTTTGGGATGTGCCAGAGGCCCGTCATCGTAGAGGACGCGGCGCTGCACATAGAGGCGCTAGACGGGTTCCCGGGGCCCTACTCGTCATATATCTTTGGCACTCTGGGAAACGGCGGGGATACTAAGGCTGGTGGGCCAGAACCGGAAGGCGGCATTCACCTCGGTCGTATCATACTGCGACCGCACGCTAAAGCCCAAGAAGTTTCGCGCACAGGTGCCCGGGATCATATCCCGAGAGGTACGCGGCCAGGGCTGGGGGTACGATCCCATCTTCATTCCAGATGGGAGGACAGAGACGTACGCCCAGATCCCAGACAAGAACCAAGTCTCCCACAGGTACGCGGCGCTGCAGAGCTTCGCTACGTGGTCAGGTACGCGGGAATCCAGCGATCGATGAACCTGCGCCGGTTCTGCAGTACGACAATCCTGGAGATGTAGCTCTCATCCATCACCGAGAACTCACCGCGTGCGGATACCGTATCCGCAAAGGCGCGGACCTCCTCCATCTCCAGCATGCTCTCCCTCTCCAGCCTGTTGGTGGACCTGCCTATGTGCATGTATGATTTGATCTCGACAAAGTGGGGGGATGCAGAGTCAAACATGGACGCAAAGGCGCGCGCGGCGCCGTCATACGTGTTGTACCCACGAATCAGCGTAACACGCAGGACTGTCCTTGTATCCAGCCTCCCTAGCATCTTCAGGGTCCTGCTCCACCTATTCCAGGCGTCGTCGTACCGGGGCTGGTTTATCCTCATGAATGAGTCATAGTCTGCCGCATTGGCCGACAGGTACAGCTGCGTGGGCAGCGCGTCCTCGTCTGCCAGTCTCTGGATCATCTTCGGCTCCTGGCCGTTGGTTACCAGGAATACGGACTTTGTGGACTCTAGCGACTTGAGGTACCTGATGAGCTGCGGCAGCTTTGGGTACATCGTGGGCTCGCCGGAGAGCGATATCGCGTAGTGGCTTGGAAGCTGCGACTCGTCCAGCTTCTGCCGGTCGCACCTCTCGTCGCCGTAGTGGCCCATTATCAGCCTTCTCCGCTCCTCCATTAGCGATGCGAGGATCTCCTGCGGCTCGGCCACCCGCTGCGGTTCCATCTTCATGGACTCGTAGAACTCCATGGGCCGCCAGCAGTACACGCAGCGGTTCTGGCAGTGCATTCCCGCAGGGGAGAACTCCATGCACCGGTGGGTCGAGATCCCGTAGAACCGGTTCTTGTAGCAGCTGCCCTCCCCCCGGAAGGACTTTTTTGTCCAGTGGCACAGCTCGACTGTGGAGTGATCCGAGAC